GACAAGCTAGCAGATGAAGACGTGCCACAGAAAACAGTCAGCCTGAGCAGTCGTGCATTCAAGGATTAGCGAGATACCTTTGACAAGCCAATAAAGGGATAAATAGACCATATAAGAAAAGAATGAGTAACCATCTCTATCAACCTCGCATGCTGACCATGACGACAATACATTGTGCATTGATTTAGTGTCTATTTTCACGGATTAAGAGAATGTAAAGTTTGTATTTCCCAATAAGTGATCAGTTATTGATTATTTTCTATTATAAGCCTGCTAATTGTAGAGCTGTAAAGGCCTTGTAGTATATTGTTAAGCGCTGTATCCGATCGCACACTCAATGATCTCTTGCATGTAGGTGTCTTTGATGACCTGGTATGATGTATTGGTCTTGCTCAGAAGATTCCTGATTGATTGCATGCTTGACACTTTGGATCTCTCTTGTTGTGTCTCATAGTGTGTCAGCTGATTCTCCATGATTCCTGTTGGAAGTGCACAAGCGGCGAGTGCATCATGAAGCATGTCACGATAGTTGTCAACCAGATAAGAGGAGGAGAAATACTGAGTCTGATGTAAGTGTCCATCCTTTGAAGACGATGAAGGTGATCCAGGATCAGTGTCCTTTCCTTGCCAGTATGAGAAGTTAGAGCTTATGGCTCTAAGAGTTACTTCTCCTTGTGGTGATAGGTGCGTTGTAGATGAGAAGCGCGCTCGCATAGGTTCATTTTCCATAGGTTACATGATAGAATCGAATATTCTGTTGCTGTTCGCTCTAAATGACAAGCCTTGTTAGGTAGAGCATACTTGGACTCCACTGGATAGAGAATGAAGCTGGTCTGGGTCGAGACCAGGCACTTCTGCATAGAGTTGGCATCGAATCTTCTCTTGCAGCTTCCACAAACCATGGACATGACCATACACAAAACAAGAAAGAGTGGACCAGTGATGCCAAACCAGATAGCGAGAACAAGGCTCTGTGTTTGTGAGCAACTAAGAAGTTTGTCCTTTCTATTTGAAAAAGTGTCCTTGATTGCATTGGTGCCACGAGCATCTGTCCAATCCGGGACAGAAGGAACTGTGATTCTCACTTCGATTCCAGTCCACCAGTAGGAGTTTCTGGCCAACGATGAGAGTGAAAGTGAGGGGATATCGAAATTGCTCCTTTTGTGGGAATGGAATTGTCATGGTAAGACCTTCGAAGTTTGGCTGATTAGGTCTTGAATTCTTTTGGAGTCCTTGTAATGGAAGTTCTGACACTGCTTACACTCTGCCATTGCTAGGCATATGGGCCCAGGTTTGATGTCCAGCTGGGACGCTGCTATACGTCTTGTGCTTTTCCACAAAGGACTATCAATTTGACAAGGGACGTGGTCGTTGATACCTTTTGCAAAGGCTACTGGAGTGGCCACATTTGGCGTGCCCTTTGTTGCTGTTGCCGGCTCTGCCTTTGGGTTTGGCTTGTTGGGTTCTAGCAGCAAAGAATGCTTCTCCCATTTTTACTTTGTGTGGAATGCCTCTACGCTCTCCTCCCATTCATGGAAAGAGGACTGAGTGGTTGCATTTGTCTGGTGAGTTTTCTGCTTTCTTTGATTGTTTCCATGTTAGCGCATTCAAAGGTCCTTGTCTTTTTGTTATTGTATTCTTATACAGAAGACAGAGTGTGATCTCTTGGGGACTCTGAGAACAAAGATGTCTGGCTTACAGATGACACAGTTCTTGAGTGGATCAAAGACTTCTGCTACACTCCTCCCAGTGTTGTTTGCGGTCCTTCTTCTCTGGCTCTCTTGATCTGTTGTTGTTGTTGGAGGCGGTTGATATCTCTCTTCTGCTGGGAGTTTCTATTCTGGCTTTGGCAACCCATTCCTCCATTTTGTGTTGTTGGCTGTGCTCTTTGGTGGCTCCATGATGCTCTCTTCTGCTGCTGCTACTGGCTTTTTGGCCGAGATAATGACTGTCGAGTGACTCTCCGGTGGTGTTGCCGGTGGTGTTGTCATTGTCGATCGAACGATCGAACGATCGAACGAACGGAGGAATCCTCTTTCGAACGGAGGAATCCTTCTTTCGCGAAAACAGAAACACGAAATTTCGAACTTTATAGCACACTGTATCCGTAATAACTATAAATGGTACGTTAATTGATTTAAATCTTGTTCCTTATATATCGCTGACATATACATTGTTCTTCGGTCCTCTCAGCCAATCAGATCACTGCCTTCTACCGCTTTCACCCTTCTCAATACAATGTCTGGATTGCGAGCAACCTGAGGAAAATCATTCACAAGAACCTCGGCGGACCACCTGATGCAGTTCAAGCCAAAATCAAAGATTCAATCAACAGTTGTGAGCCTTTAACTGTCGTTAGCCTGTCAGGCGGAAATAATCTAAGTAATCGATGATGCTTGTGTCCACTAGCTCTCGATGACTCTCACTGGGTCATCACTAGGTCCCTTCTTGTAAACTCGAAAAACTTCATCCCAATTATACCTCAATCAAACGTCGATCCTCCCCTCGAGCTCGAGGCCAACTCAAAGTTTTCCGAGCCCAAAGACACCCAAAGGACGCCATGCAAAAGACACCCAAAGGCAGGAGATCCCTCGATTCTGTCCAGGTTGACCTCTACGCATCAGCCTCCAAGTCCTGCCAAGCCAAACACAGCAGCACCGCTTCTAAGATTCAAGCCTATCTGGATGAACTGCAAACCGAACTTGGCCTACCCAAGTTAAACTACAATGACATAGGTGAAACTGGAGGTTCTTTCTCAGACAACGACGAAGATGTAACAAAATGGTGGTACATTTTCTGGGAAGGCCAACCAACCTTCTGGTTCAACCTCAAGAAAGCCTGCGGAGGCTCATACTCCACAGGCACCCTGGAACGCTACATGCCTGCCATTAAAAACCAATTGAAGAAAAAACTCATGCTGTCCCGCTACCTTAAAGTTATCGAAGAAACCTACGCTTCTGCTTTCAAGTCCTTGAAAACCATGATCAAGGATCAGAAGAAAGTCTCACCCCCACCCAAGAATAAAGTATACTCCAGCGGGGACATTGCATTCATCCTGCAACGCTGCCTCTGGTTCAACCTGGAAAAGTACATTGACTTGTACATCTTCCAGACCGCCACTCTCCGTCTTTGCAGCAGGGCAACCGAGACCTCCCGCCTCACCGTGCAGGATCTTTCTATTAGAGAGCTTTATGAAGGATCCCTCAACAACATCCTTCAGTGTTATCTTGTACGTGATAAGATGGGAGTCGACAACAACCACCCTTTGATCCCCAACAAATATGATGTTTTCGGTGACCTTGTAGTCGCCATCGGCCTGGCCATGTTTATCCGCAATGACAAAAACCTCATGCCATCGATAGCCACCACCAGTGATGTATCATCCCATTACGACGCTATTCTCAAGACCATCTGGAAGCGTTATCCCCCTGCAGAAAACGCCACCGTCCGAAAAGGCACATCACACTTCGGCAAGCACACTGCCCAGTTCCTCCTTGACGGTAACAAGCTTCATATTGCAGCAGAACTTTTCGGTGGATGGAATGAAGGGAAAATTTCAGGACCAGGAGCTCGTACCGCGTACTTCTCAAACCCTTTCCCCTACCTTCTTGATGGGGCAAAAGCTCTTGCAGCCTGGTCCAAGGTTGGCAGTGACTACCAACGTGTGACCATCCCGTCATATGACACCATCTCGAAAGACATGGGCGACAAAATCTGCTCAGCCTTCTTCGGCCACATCCCTGAAGATTCGCTCTGCATCCAAGTGAAGCAAATGGTTCTCATGTGTGTCCTTTCCAAGTGGGATCAGTTATTAGACCAGATCCGTGCAGAACCCAATGGCTTATTCAAAGACCCAAAGAACCATATCCTTGTCGCAACTCTCACTCAACGACTCTCTCAAGAAGACATCGGACTAGCTGAATTCAACACGTTCAAGTCGGCGTGCCAAGAGTTGTTCACCAAGACCAACTTCATTGACGCCGTTGTCCCAGTACCTTCTCCTGTCACCTCCTCCACTACCACCGCTGACTACACCCAGTCCCCGTTTCAGTCTGAATTGAACATCCGACCTATCAAGGCACTCCTTGATCTTGTTACAAGGAACACAGACCCCAAAGTAGTATTCATCAAATTTCTTCGCCTGCAACTTCATAGAATCTTACAAGTCCACTCCCAAAGTTGACAGTCGCGTGAGATGCAAATACCAAAAGGTTAAGGCAGCCATAAGGGTCATGGTACGCTTCCTCGATAACTACCCCACCACCACCCCATCTATGGAAGACGCTAATGTCATTATGCAACGCATCAAGAGTGCACTGTTGAGCGAAGCTTCAAGCGTCAAGACACAAGGTAAACAACCATTCAATGCTTCGACCACACCTCATCTCACTATCATCCGCATGAATGAAGAGCTCTTGACAAACAAGTCCAAGCCCTGGTACCGCCCCCTCCCACCTAACACCCCACATCCATTCATTGAACATGTCTACTCTCACAAAATCTATCAGGTCTGACCTTAGAACTATTAATGGACGACTGCCGCTCCAGCGAGATGGATGTCAAACAACCACCTCCGAAGGCATGGCCATAGTACTAGTACCTGAAGTTCTCCATTTGGTGAAGATGGCGGTAGACGTTGTTCCTCTGCTCATCGTTGGATACCTGAAACGTCTCAAAAGGAGTCTTCAATCACTTGCCGAATTTCAAACAGGTCGATCGGGATTGACGGTCCCAAACCATCCGGAACTGCCAAAGGGTGATAGATGCTTACGGTTGGAACATTTATCTGCATCGCAGGGATTCCAGCCGCTGTAGCTCCACCATTGGGACCATCATGTCCAAATTCAATCTCCTGAACGGGATTGCCAAGGTTCGCACGCTCATAACGAAAAGCTTTCATTGTTCGATGACCACTTACTCGCACGTTCGTACCAATCTTGACCACAATGCCTTGTTGCACCCCATACTGTGGTTGGGTTGGAGCTGTCAGCAGCCAGGCCTGTGCTTTCGCCCGAACATGACGCTCAGATTCATTGTAGGCGACCTCAAAAACAATGTTGGAAAAGCGATTCCCCTGTGCGTCACTTCTATCTGGGCTGCCAGGTCCTGGGCGACCACCACCTCTAACTTCAACAGAACTGTCAGGCTCGGCAGAGAGGGCGCCGTTGCTGTCAGCCATGCGAGGAGAGGGGGGAATCTTAACATCCCTGCCATGGGCTCCCAATCCCAGGACAATCTCTTGGGCAAGCTGTCCAGCAGCTTCCTCGTGACACCGGTGAGGAAGTTCATAGATCCAGGCCTTCCCCGCTCTGAACTCCCATTTAAAGCAACCACCGGTTTGGGAGCTCCGTCCAGTTTTTTCACGATGCTCAATCATTTTCTCAAATTGGTGGAGACTGATTCCCTCCGCAAGACAGAAAGGCAACTTGCTAGTTTGTGTTTCCACAGACCAAGAATAGAACTCATCCACCTTCCATTCTGTGGCACCACGAGCAACTTCCGCAGCGGAAGGTTTGGGTTTCGCTTTCCTGGTTTTCTTCTTCGTTCCAACGGCAGTGGCAGAGGTCACAGAAGCATAAGAACGCCGCTTCTTGCTGGAATCAGTTCCAAGTGTGTCCGCCATGGTGAAAGAAGATGGCGATGTAGACAAGCAGTGAGTACCTGCACCGAGGGAGCGTGCATGACTGGGAGGAACACTTTGGGAACCGCTAAGCAAGCGCTATGGTCTGATCGAAAAAATGCGTGGCCTTGTTGACCTCATAAGCGTGTAGTGTCAAGGGCGATGTGGATTGAGCTGTCCTTTTCGTTGTGGTGTTGCGGTTGGGGATGTTGATGAAGCGCTGCCAGTAGCCGGGCCCGCGCCTACTGCACGAGTGCTTCCTAATTAATTGGAAATTCCAAGCCGCCCCCACCATTGGTGCTGGGACTCTGTACGCGTGCATCGACTTCGATTCTCCTTGACGTCATATTTGCGTACCATGACCTATACAAAAACAGTACTACGGGTGGATCGCCGTGAAGGTGCCGACGCCTACCCCCATTACTAAACAATATCCTTATCCCTAGTCAATGACGTAATCACTCGATAACCAAAAGCCAACAGAATAATAAATATACGGACTTATCCCCCTACTCGATGTATATTGGGACCTCGAGGTGAGATCATATTATTACCTCACCTCGGTCCCAGGTCCCAAGTACTTTATCTTATATAGTAAAGTTTCAGTTTGGGACCTCCTTTAATTTAAGATTCTCCCTACAGAATTAACAAAAGTCTCAGTTTGGGACCTCCATTAATTTAAGATTCCCCTAAGCTAAAACAAGATTCAAAGAAGTCTCAAATCTGTAGCCAAACGGAACCCCCACCTGGACTCGTTGTTGTTGTTGTTGTTGTTGTTGTTGCAGCTGCTTCCTCGAGCTCCAGCTGTACGACTTGTTGTTGCTGTTGCCTTGAGCTCCAGCTGCACGACTTGTTGTTGCTGCTGCTCCTCCTCTTGCCGCTGCTTCTGTCGAACCGCTGTTAACCGCTACGACACCTGTCACTTTGTTATCCGTCTCTCGGAACGATTCGATTCGATTCGTTCGAAGCTTCGAATGATGACGCTCCACAGCTGCCGACACCAATGCTAGCTATTAATAGACGGATCACCTTGCTCCCCGCAAGCGGATCACCTCGCTCACTAGCAAGGGCTTGCCAGTGAGTCGCCTCAGTATGTCCCTACTAACTAAGGACAATTTGCCTCCAGGTCGCAGACCCGACCCCCACCAAGGGGGGGGGAGATTATTAAAGGCAAATTGTCACGCCTCGTAGAGGCTGGTACAATTCTTACGCGGAAGTGTTACAATGTGCTGTCACTTTGTGACAACCATTCTTGTCACTTGTCACACTAACAAGTTGTCACCTACACGACAGCACACACACTTCACGCGTCCCCGATCGTTGCAACCTTGCCCTCAGTTGCAACCTACAAACTAGCCCAGCGGCGACTGAGCGTCCCAATAGCCTCGTGGCAACTGAGCGACCTACAAACTAGCCCAGCGGCGACTGAGCGTCCCAACAGCGTCGCGGCGATTGAGCGACCTACAACTAAGGTTAGAGAACAAATATCAACCCTAGCTAGCAGCCATGCCCATAGCGGCCTGAGCCCTTCAGTCTAGAACGACTGTTGCAGCTTAGAACCTCCCTCCTGAACCTCATTTGCACATCACACTGTCACGTCATCATCGTCTCATAAAGCATTCAACCCATAGCAATGAACAATGATCAACCCACTCCTGCTGACCCAATCGTCGCTAATCGAGATGTCGTCAATGATGGAAACAACACAATTGAAGGAAATGAAGAAAAGCTTGACCATGATGATCAATCATCACAACCTCTGCCGCCGTCATCGCATTCGCATCCCAAAGGAGATGCGATCCTTAGAGAAACATTGGCACAAAACCCTACCTCTGCTCTCGCAAATCCTCAAGGAACGAAATTCAACAACAAAGGGCAACACCGCCATTGGTGTCTCACCTTCAACAATTACACAGCAAGTGACTACGAACAAATTGAATCAGCCCTAAAAACTGATGAATCCACGATTGTTAGCGCCATCATAGCCAAAGAAGTAGGTGAAAGCGGTACACCCCATCTTCAGGGCTATGTTCATTTCAAGACAGTTAAGCGTCAACAAGGTGTCTTCAAGTTCTTTGGATATAACTGCGCAGCCTTCCATCTCGTCCCCCATGATATGCAAAAAGCCCCTCCACTTGCTTCTTTCCGTTACTGCATGAAAGACAATAACTACTATATTGTAGGCAAAAACCTAGATGAGATTGCACGTCTAAGACAGAAAACAAAAGCAGGAACAAAGCGTGAAGGTGATGAGTACTGTGATCTTACAAAGAAGATAGAAAAAGGCGAGATAGTCCACATGAGCCAAGTCCGTGCATACTCTGCTGAAATTGCTGCAAGACATGAAGAGTATTGGAAAGGTTTAATCGTTCAACACATGCCACGAGTTCCAGTTGTTGAACATGAACTCCGCCCTTGGCAAAACTCCCTAACAGAGAAACTCCAGGAGCCTTTCAATGACCGTGAAGTGATTTTTGTTATCGATCCAATCGGCAATTGCGGAAAGACATGGTACACCAACTACTATCAGGAGAAGTTTGGTAAGACCATTCAAGTAGGAGCAGACAAACGCGAAAACCTATCCTACGAAGTTATAAACCTTGTAATTGAAGAAGGCACCCCAAACATAATCTTCATGGACGCCCCACGGTCCAGAAGCATGTACGTGTCTAGTGCCTGGTTGGAAGAGACAAAGAATGGTGTGATAAAATTACCCAAATACAAGAGTAAGAAAGCCTTCCTTACACACATCCCTCATGTAGTTGTGATGATGAACGAGTATCCCCAAAAGAACCCAAATGATTTAGGTCTGTCGAATGACCGATACACATACCTGATAATTGATAGCTCAGGTGAAAATGGCAAATGGCACCATGGATACATTGACCCAACCATTGAACCAGCTTATGAAACCATTCAAGCAACAATTCAATCAAAAATTCCAAATACACTCCAAGACGCCTTCAACAAAGCATATGCATCCCATCATACAGAACCAAAAAACCTCCAAAAAGCCCTAAGCAAAGCAGTGGAAACCTGGGCAAACAAGACAACAACAACACCCGCAGACAAATACATCAGCAGTGTCATGGAAAGACCAACTAGCCGAACCTTCAAAAACCACCTCTCAAGCCAACCAATGCAGCATTATGTTCAACAAACCAATCCTCGTTAAGTCCTAACCCTTGTTAAGTCCTTGTCCTAACCACTATCTCATAAATAATAATGCTACAATGTTCCCAATTGGTGATAACAGAATGTCATTCCCTCTAACAAGGAGACCCGAATACTCTCCAAGAACTCCAAGGAAGAGAACTTCAAGAGAAAAAAGCCCAAAATGGTTAAGAGAATGGATCAAAACAGAACCCATCCTAAAATATCTTAAATCCTCTAGTCCTCCTACCAACGTGCATTGTACCCTCGACCATACCCGTAGTCTCGACCGTAGTAGCCACCGTGACCATACCTATTAGGTCCTCTGTAGCCACCTCTAGCATAACCATACCTGCCTGGTGGATACCACGGCTCCGATTGCCCCTCTACATCTAACCCTTGACGAGACTCTTCAGGTCTCTTTGTCCTAGCTCTCTTAGCAGGCCTCTCTTCTTTCTCTTCATTCCCAGCTTCCTCTTTCTTAGCCTTCTCATCCTCTTTCTGAGCAGGCTTGTCTTCCTCACTCTCATCCTCTGTCTCAGCTTCAGCATCTTCATCGGAAACCCTCTTGGTATTAGGAACAGTCTCCTCACCATCCAAGGAAGCTAGAGCTCTCTCCACCATTCCCTCTAAAATAGAATTCTCATCAGTTGTCATTGTTTTTCCCTACTTTCAAAAATGTGGGTAGTAACCAGTCTTTATGCCACACTCTCAGATTACACAACAATGGTGGAGTTCATGCGAAGAGAGTTTGTCACTAAGCATTTGTTGTTACCCATAGGAGAAGCCACCTGCAGCTATGCTGTCTAATGACGAAGAGAAGAAGTCAACAACGCCTCATATTGGTTTCCAAACTACACTGTCCAAATTCGATGATGACATTACCGAGTTAGACCAACCCTCTCCTGCGAGGGCTACAGCTTAAATTCAGCTTTACAGCTTTACAATTAGCAGGCTTATTCTAGAAAATAATCAATAACTGCTCACTTATTTGGAAATACAAACTTTACATCTCTTAGATGTTAGATTAGACAATCCACAATGGTATTGTCGATGGTAGCATGCGAGGTTATGAGATGTTACTCATTCTTATTCTTATATGTCTATCCCCTATGGTTGTCAATGGAATGAGCTATCCCTTGATGCAGAGTCCTGAGTTTCCTCTCATTATCTTCATCGGTAGCTTCCCCTTTGCAACTTAATTCCCTGGATTCGCTCGTGTAAGCCATCCCCTTGTTTGGTTATTCGCTCGTAGCAATCGCAACCATGGACTCCTACAGGAGCCACCTTTCATCCTGTCGTGATCAAATCGCGATGGGACCCTGGACTCCTATGGGAGTCCCCTTTTACTATCGAGCTGGAAGCCCTACTATACTGGTTCTTACTGCTACTACTGTTATCTCCACCGTAAGGCCTTGCCTCATCACTCGTCGATCGCGATCATCGATACGAGTAACAGAGGTCGCATCGAGAAGTTAACAGAATTTGTCGAAAAATGAGCTCCGAATGCATAATAAGGCTCGGCCTGTGTGTCATGCATTGAGTCATGCTTCGGGAGGCTGAGCCATCTTGCCTTATATCTTCGAAAAAACTCCTCACTTTTTCATTCCAAACGTGAACACAACATCACGAGCGATCGATCGCTCGTGCATGTTTTGTTGTTCATGTGGCTGTTGTTCATGGGCTGTTGGTCGATCGCATTGGTCTCTTACCCAGGACGGCATTGGTCGTTTGAATGGCTTGCAGTTGTTGTTGTTGTTCAAGCGAACGATTCGCTTGCAGTGGTTCAAACGACGACGAGATTCAAACGACGAGAACTCGCTTGTCGACGCGAAAGAACGTTCGGCGAATCGGTCGAGCTGTTATCTTCAGAACTGTTGGAAAGCTCATAAATTCCATCTTCGATTGACTCGATTGACTGGATATCCGCCGCTCTCCTTGTCTGTTGCCATTGCTCTTGTTTTCAACTCGTTGACTGGATTTCCACCGGCCTCCTCCTGTTACCGCTCTTCTACTGTTGCCGGCTGTTGCCTTGCCATTGCCCTCTTGTGTTCCTCCTTGTGGACCTTGACGACGCTTCTCTGCCTCAGCATCTTCATCTTCAA